CCAGGAATCGCCTCCACTTCTTCTTCCTCTTCTGGGGAAAATGAAGTTAAAAAGAAATTTATTATTTGTTTTTACACCGATCTATCTCTCAGGATGTTCCAATGGCCCGAAATAGCTATCCTGCGGTTTGCCTATCTTGCCGGAATACTAACACGAAAAGATGTGTTCCTGACACTTAGCTAGTAACATATCAATTATTAGTCGCTTTGCTAAAAATACAATCGGTTGAACCGAGTCGCAAAAGCATTAGCCCAGGATTGGCACATCCTGAGAGATAGATCGGTGTACAAACAAATACTTTATACTCCCGATCAGCAACCGGCAAGATATCGAATTCGATGGCTCAATGGTTAGGATGTCTGCCCCTGAGTGGCGAGGCGCGAGTTCGAAACTCGGGCGTGACGGCAATTTCAGCCGGGTGACTAGAGTTGGCTGTCCGTAGCTGATGAGGGCCAATAGCCCGAAATAGCGATCCTGTGGTTTGCCGATCCTACCGGAATACTAACATAAATTAAAAATTTAAACGCAGAACCCTGTCATGGGCTCCCTGTACTGAACGATGATCAATATGCCATTGTTAAAAGCCTGAGAAGAGACGACCTTGTCCGTCCCGCTGGGTTCTGTCTCAAAGGCAGTTGGAGGTAAGTTTGCCGTTGTAGCGTCTAGGTATTGGTTGTGCTTAGGGCACTACAAATCGTTCACTCCGACTGGATCCCACCACTAAATTATCAAACACACATGAGCAGCCGCGTGTGTGCGCGCGGGAATTCGGTCAAGGGTCCTCAGGTCAGCGAGCCGGGGAGCACTTCCTGCGAACTTGCATGACCCTGAAGCAGTGGGCATTGAACAGGGAAGTCAGACAGCAATGTTGGCTGTCCGTCACCGCCAAGAACTCTATGTGGCATAACCGATCAGTTTCGATCCGGTTTGCTTTTGTGTGCGATTGCGCTCATATTCAAACTTCTGGTTGATATGCGCAGTAAATGCTCTCGGAAACGTCAACCAGAATTGTAACTCGACCGCGGTCAGCAAATTAATTTTTTTCCGATTTGCGAATCCGAATAAACTAGCCTCTCAGTTGGTATTTTCGCTGTGGCAGCTGGGTAGCGTGTGCATATTTGGTAGGCATCTAAAGCAGCGGGCTTTGATCGATGGAGCATCTTCCGGGCCGTATCCGGCATCTTACTCGTTTCTCGTCGTGGGGTTTCATCTACAGGATGTTACAGGAAAGCCAACTCCTACTCGCATAATTGGCTTTACTGAATTTCAAACACAACGTCGCGGCGAAGTCGGTAGTCGGTCGCCCTCTAGAACCCTATAATTCGGTAGATTTGCTTACTATCTTGGCGGCGACTTAAACCGTATGTATCACTGTTCGACCCTCAGTCTCTAATAATTACGACCTTCGACAGGGGGGGAAAAGGTAGTATTGCCCCCCGTTTACAGGCGTTAATGTTCTCCGCAATGTCGATATTCTACAGTTGCTATTTTCAGTTTCCTACTACCCTCTCTCCTTACCCTTAAGAGCTCTCCTGTTTTACTTTCCTCTAGCCAGACTTCCCCAAGGAACCAGTGGATTCCCCAGCCAAAATTTCTTCCTGGCTAAAGTTCTATGAGATGTCGCCGCCCGTGATGGGAGTGGGCACCATTGTTTCGCACGATCCGGTGGGTTGTTTTCTCGCAATTTTTTTAATTATTTCCACTGACTTTCTACCCTGCCTCAACATCAACATCACTCGGGCAGTTTTAATAGCAGCGCTTCTGTGTGTGTCTTGTTGTGTGGAGTGGCTTTCTGAGGGCGGAGAGTCAGGCTCAATGGCTCCTTCTTAATGTGGCCTTAATGGTCCTCCCAGACGGGTGCCTACCTCTCGAGGTGTGCTGAGTGTTGGTCGCGCTAGCGGCCTGCACCCTACCCAGTCTCCGGTCTTCTTGACTTTTGTCTTGACATCGAGTCCCGGTGTGGGAATGGTGAGCAAGTAGGGGAGATTCTCCGCAAGTTTTCTTTCACTATAATCCCGCGAGAGTCACCGCTTTCGCCTCAGCTTGCTGAGGCTCGTGGCGGACATCGTCGAAAGCGACGGTCGTATTGACGTTCTGTATATGCGGTACTAACTAGCGGCACAAACCACTTTTGCGTTTCTGCCACTGGTTCTGAAATTTGAGCCTGATTGGTAGAACAGAGCTCAGCCTACCTTTCTAACCCTAGCATTACCCCTAACATAAACCGAAATTTTAGACCAAGTCTTAACTGTGAACTTAGCACTAACCTACCTTGACATAAACCGTAAACATCACCCTCTTTCCCTGGAAATTGGACGCAGAAGTATCTGTATTGCGGGCGGTTCGTGCTCTCGTGTCCCTTTTGGGGAACCATAGAAGTCATCCTTATTGTGTTTTCTGCGCTTTATAAGGTTATCGAAAATTAATGCGAGGAATGCATACAAAATAAGTAATCATTTTTTATCAGCTGTGTAAGTTCTATAGACGACCCACGCAAACGTTGCCTTCATTTTGTCGATTTCTCCAAATTTGCGCAAATGTCTTTGACACGTGAGGCGCGTGCTATTTGATTTTGGATCATAGGGCCAGATCAACGTAAATACACTGTATTTCGGTGTAATGTTTTCGACGACAGACGAGTATGTATTTCACACATGACAGTCCCGAAGACAGGGAAAGCCGACTTCTTCAACTCGATATTTAAACCACCAAAGTTAATCGGAGCGGGTGGAAGCACAACGAATCAGGCCGTTCACAACCTGGATAAATGTATTCTACAGAAGCTGACTCGTATTAACATCGTCCCGTTAAGTGCTCATCGTAGTTCATTTAGGTTAGCAGAGAAGACCCTAGGCGCTGCGATCTCCAGGCCCGGTTCCTTATTAGAAGAGAAGTGACACGCCAGATGGGAGGAATAGCGTACTCTGTACAGAGTTAGTGGAGAATAGGTTGGAGGAAGTTGACAGTCGGACGAGTGCACAACCACACGCGAGGGGGCCGAAGTATATGAGCATGGCTGTCGTCGCAGTGAGTTATTGTGCGAGTCAGCCTCAAAGAGATGGTTGATTAGAATGTACTGGGGTAGGCAGGCACTCGTGCGTTCGGAGCGTGTGAGAGGGACGGCATCCGAAGTGTTGGCAGTTGTCGCAGTGATATCCTGTTTGAGTCAGCCCTAAAGGTGATTGGCCAGACCGGGGAAAGCAGACACTGGCGATGCACACTAGCTAGCAGCCGCGAGTGCGCATGCAATCGGAGTTGGGTCGCTAAATGCCAAACGTTGTGTTCCTTGTGCAGTTGTTAAGGTTTGAAAGTATTCATGCGTTGGAATATTTGAAGAGGAGGGAAATGACGCGCTGTGGCTATCGAAGACCTGAATCACGTCTAACAGCAGGACCCAAAGTGCTAATTCATCGGTATAACAAAGTAATCGTAGTTTCTTGGTGCTCATTAACCGGCAGCTAAACAACTGCAGGCCAAACAGTCAAGTCGCTGCGGTCTGTTTTTGCCTATCTAATTACCGCCCCCTACCTGGGACTGTCCACGCGGCAAGGCTCTGTCACGTACCTTTTCTTTCCGATAGATTTTTTCCGGAAGATTGTTTACAATTCATTCACTTCGACGGGTAGCTTAAGATTGGGGTTCTTCCACAACTCGGAAGTCGCCAGAGATGTTTCTAACAATTTTTTCACTATGCGCGATTATTGGGCTGGCGGTGGAGACATGCACTTAATCGAACGACTTCAGTTTATCTTATATTAGTTCACTAAAGACCTTTGTACCCTTGTGACGGCCCACCGATGCATATGGCTACGTTCTGCTGGTTCACAACATCCGGGCTAATAACTTTTCATTGAAGTCGGTAAACAGAGGCCCCGATCGAGGTTGAGCTGGTTATCACACGACCTCGCAGCACTAAATCATACCTGTTTTGCCTAATGGCTTTAGATTGGTGTGTAAAGCTGGAAGACTTGGTATCTTTTGAGGTATCTTTTATTGATCTTAATTGCCTAAAGACCTAATTTTAGTTTGCATTGACGGTATTTCGCTTCGCCCTGCAGCCGTAAACCCTGTATGAAGGAAGTCTGGTACATATGAAACTAGGGCATCATCTCGTGTGCAGCACGCGTAGATGTGCAGTTTGCCTTTGTCAGGCAGTAGGCCCGTCTCCCGTTTTGAATTTGTGGCGCTCTCAGAAGACGTGGTGAGTAACGGAAAAGCGAGTCAGGTAGACGCCGCAAACGTCTTCTCAGATACAGGTATCTGCTCGCCGCCCCCATTCCTCCTCCTCAGTCATCTCACGACGAACCGCTGTCGGTTTTGCTTGCTGTACGGTTTCCGCAGTTTGTTTCTTATCAAACTCTCTTTCTCCCTTGCCGCGCCTGTAGGATAAGATGGACATAAAATTGGAGCATTTCCACTGCTACAGCGAGAACGGCACAGAAGCAGGTCACTTCTACTATGACACGGATCCGACGACTGCACACTACCGGGTCTATCTAGCTCCCGCCAAGAACATTCTTCGTATTGACCGTGCAATAAAGTGATGCAGCCTGCTCCGTTCACCCCTCAATCTGTCTTCC